CGGTGGTGGAGATGGTGGTGTAAAAATAATATTATTTTATTTGAATTTCTATTCCAACAACTTTTTGAATTTTCACTAAAACCACATTTTAAATTATATCTTCAATTCAAAGCAATAACTGAGCCAAAAACTTAAATAAACTAGTTTTTATCCGAATTTTCACCCCACAATTTTCTTGCATTTTTTTTAAAAAAAATTTGAATTTTTACTTAATTAGTATAGCGCGGTAAAATTTTAGAAATAACTCAAGATTTATTGTAGCTGTCAAAGTCAAAAATCTTAGTTTTGTTTTGTTTTTTTTCTTAATTTAAATTTTGAATTATTTATTGTGACTCGGTAAATTTTTAAAGTTACGGTGAGCGATTAAATGTGCAACATAATTAACATTTATTTTAGTAAAGAAAAAAGTAACTTCGAAAATAATTTAAATTTTAAAATTTTAAAATAATATTTTAAATTAATAAATAATATTTTAACAATTAAATAATAAATATGAATTTTTATAATATTTTTAATGATTTAAATTTTAATGGAAGTTTAAATTATATAAAAAGATGAAAATACCCATGATTCCGGTATGTCAACTGCCGGTCAACATCGAGTTGGACGGAAAAGTGGTCGAAACAGTGAAATGAGACAAAAAAAAGTGTGAAACATATTGTTTGGGAATACGATATTAAAATGTTAATGTTAGGGACATAAAATCAAGTAAGTCCAAATGTAAGGGACCATTTGGACATTTTAGTCATAACATTATTACCATATTCCTAAATCCTAATACATTATTTGTTTATATATTTATTTATTATCCTAACACATTTTTCATATTCTCAATGAAATATCTAAAATGTCTTAACCGATAATTAGAATAGACATAATTTAACGAGGGTGATTAGTCACTGTTACCGACAGTGGACACCCTGCAAATATGAAAAAAAAAAAAAAGACATAATAATCTCATTACTACTGAATCATAGGTACTTTATGTACAAAGAGAGTAAAATATAGAATGATAATAAAGAATAAATAACCTTACTAAATAACAATAAAGGACAAATAGATGCTATCATACTACCAAAAATCTGAAACCCTTATTTTGCTGGCAAAAGGGGAGCATCTCGCACCATATAATTTATGAAGAGTGATGACCATACTCGGTTCAGTACCATATCATATAGTAAGATATGACTTTCCGTTTGAGGAATTCATCGGAAGTCGGTTCAGCCAAAGTGTAGAAAAAAGTAGTGAAAGAAAAGCTTTTTGGCTCAAGCTGCACTCGTCGTTTGTCTGAAAATATATAACATATGTAGCTTTCTTGTACAAAAATTTAAAATCAAATTCTAAAGCAAAAATTGCAGGTATTGGATGTATCACTACAAAAAAAAAAGGCTATTAATACCTTTATAATAGGACACTTTTTCTAAATGTGTCTTATTATATGTGTATTAGGACAATTGCTAAAAAGTGTCTTATTAAAAATGAAAAAGTGTATGTATATTATGAAACACTATCATAAGTGTACTATGTGAGGTTGTTTGTGAACTATTACCCTAGTTAATGGGTCACTTTAAAGTGTCTTAATAAGTGACAATCTAATAATACACTTTCAAATGTTTTATGACTTATTGTGACTCGATTATAGGAGACACTATTTAGTAGTGTCCCATGTAATGTGAATCACTTGTGTCCTATTACACCACTTACTTATTGAGACACAAAAAAGTGTCTAAACTACTCATTTTTGTTGTAGTGTATCGTTGATTAATTATGTAGATTATTATAATCTATTCTGTTTTTTCGCATCGCAACAAAAGAGATCCATTGAAATCTAGAATAAAAATGAAAAATATATAAAGACATTAATAATACTCTGTCTATCCAAAAAAAAAAAAAGATTTATATTGAATTTTGAGATTTGTACTAAAAATATATAATATAACTTTTAAAATTCAATACAACTTTGTCTCTGCGGCATTAATTAAGAAGAAAGACACATTAATTTACTTGAAAAAAAAAATTCTTTAAACTTAGACTTTAAAATAAACGAGTGTAGCAAATTTCAAACTGACACATTGACAAAAAAAAAAAAAAGAGTACCACATTGTAAAAATTCCAGCGAAGCTATATATAAATTGAGGCCATGGGGGGCTACTAAATTCAATGGGGCAAATGGTATTCCAATTTGCACATCTCACACAGAGATGGTGGCGCCAACAGAATATTTGTTTTATATATATATATATATATATATATATATATATATATATATATGTAAACAGCGGCCAGTCTAATTGGTAGAAGAAACTCATCAATGAGAACCATTTCTGTAACCTAAAACCAACCTACACATTCTCACATAATTAATACCCAATGCCCAGCACTGTGTGCTGATGTTCGAAAAAAAAAAAAAAAACCAATGCCCTAGTTCTAGAACCGGGAGGGAAAATTCGAATTTTCGCAAACCTACATTTCATAATACTTCCTGGTTTGTCCTATCATCACTTTTTTTTTTTATTATTAATTTTTTTTGGTATGAAAAACCGGTCGATATTTTCCAACGAAACTGTGAAAATATACACTACTTGATTTAAAACACGTAGATCAAATCTGTTTTAAGTTGGTAATTAACAATCTTGACGACCATATGAGATCAATGCATGCCACGGAGTATGGATAATCGAGCTATATATTTTTCCTTCTTGCAATTCTATTATTTAGTCTAAAACGTACAGATTAGGAGATTGTGAGGATTATCAATATTTATAATGTTTAAAATTTAGCATGTAATTATCAACTGAACCAATTAAAACCATATTATTAACGTTGCGGACAATATTATTATTATTTTTTTACTGTCAACTGACACAATTAATTCTTCTTCATTGTCTTTGAAACTGAAATTTAGAACAGTCCCCTTAAGGTTTCTAGAAAGAAGTAAAACTAGAATTCAATTTTTTATTTTTCCCTCAATTGTATGAGCTAGCTTTCATATTCACTCCCTCTAGCTAGCCATTTACTTATTTTAGCTGTTTATCTATATACACGATTATCAAATACTCTCTTTTTCGTCGTAAAAAATAGTTACTTTTATTGTAAAAATGGATATAGTATTATTTTGGTAAGAAAGGAGGAAATTAAATCTACCATAAATTAAAACATTAATTCTTGTAGTAGACTTTCATTTACCTTGCAAGTGGATATAGCGGGGCTCCATGCATTATGAATATGGATCAGATTCAACTGCAACTAACACATTAATTGGATCGATGGCCATTTCAGAATGACAGAATCATAACGAACCCAACAAGCCAATGACGAAAAAGAGACACAGGGGGTGAAGAAATGCGTTCAATATCAAAATATATAGTGCAATATAAACAAATAAGCTCAAGATCTCACGCCTCATGTGATAATATCCAATAATCTAAATTCATAACACAAAAAGGGGGAAAAAAGTCGCACTACTTAATGAATTAATTTAATTTTATTGGTTCCTTATATGTAACAACCAAAATATATGCAATAATAATATGTTATAACTCGATTTATTTGTTGATCATGTTGCACTCACTGCTCATAGTAATGGACATCCGAAAAAAATATTAAGCATGTGAATTTAGGGTACAATATTTTTACCACTTATGTGTGTAAGGTTTTGCTATACTCCTTTTTGATCCCGTTTACGATACATATATACTCCTTCCATTCCAAAATAAGTGTCGTCCTACACTTTACACATAGTTTAAAAAACTCTTAAATAGGGTAATAAAATTACTTGAATATCCTCAACCAACCCTATTATAAAATTGTCCACCAATAGCATCAACTTTTTTTAGAGTAATTTTGGAAACTTTTAACAAAAAGTGCATCGAAATGTGAGAACGACACTTATTTTTGAATTTCTCTATTTTGCTAAAACGATACTTATTTTGGAATGGAGGGAGTACCATTCACGAAACAAAAATGGTATAATTAAATCATTACAACAGTAGTAATTAATGTTTATAACTAATGTGTGCCACGAAAATATAAGTAGTAGTGGTATTGTAGTATCTGATTATTATTTGGCTAGCGTCGGCGACGAACACGGAGAACTTGTTCGAGTGAATTTGTCTTCATTTCCAATACTATTTGCTTTAAGAATCGTTGGATAAACCATAACAGTGTCGAGATCGATAATATGAAACTTTCGTCTTTGCTAAGTAATAATTTTCAGGCATGAATTAATGCCAACCAATTAGGCTTAGCTAGCTGCTTCAAATTTATGAACCCTTCACCTTTTGGCATTCCCTTAAAAACTACGCAAAATAATGAACTTAAAAATATGCCACCCAATTAGCAGCTGTGAATAGTGGTGAATAAGATATTGTAACAATAGTTTTCTGTTTCCAAAAAAGAAAATATATAGTATATATAAATATAAACATATTATTCCAAAAAATAAAAAATAAATAAAAAAACCAGCTGAGATGGAGCAGGTCATCAAAATGCTGAATGTTATAAATACTTCGAACCTCTAAATCTTCTTCCCATTCACTCTCATAACTCAGATTCAACTGCTCAGATCAGTTGCCAGAGTTACACTGTCGCTCTGCATGCTGCTGCCGCCAACCCCCCGCATATGATCTTATTAGCTCCATTATATCATCTCCATTAATTATTTCCACAGAATGAAAATAATTTCATTGAGAAAGCTTCAACTCTCGTTTTTCCTTCTTTTATCATTCACATTTTTTCTCCACACCACCTTTTCCTACCTCCGACCACTCGCCGCCGCCCTCCTCCGCCTCCTCCTCCCCGCTGCCAACCTCCGTATTACCCTATCTCTCTCCCTTCCCATCCTTTTCGCCGTCTTCCGCTACATCGCCACCCGTCCGAAGCCGGTCTTCCTACTAAATTATTCCTGCTACAAGCCGCCGCCTCACCGGAAATGCTCCTACCAAGTAGCCGAATCCTTCGTCAGGCGAAGCCAGAATTTCTCCGACAAGACCTTCGACTTCATGCGTAACATCTACTTCAAGTCCGGCCTTGGCGACGAAACCTACGGACCGCCGTTTATCTTCGACGAAGAAAACGACGTTCCGACGCTGGATTCCGCCATGCAAGAAGCCCGGGAAGGGGTATTTTCGTCCGTCGACGCGCTGCTATCCAAAACCGGAATCGACCCGTCTTCCATCGACGTCGTTATAGTAACATGCGGGAGCTTCTCGCCGTTTCCTTCGCTTTCTTCTCTGATCGTGAACCATTATAACCTCCGCCCGGACGTCAAGACTTTTAATCTCAGCGGAATGGGGTGCAGCTCCGGCGTCTTGTCCATCGATTTCGCGGCCCGGATGTTACGGAGTTCCGAAAAAGTCCAGAATGCCCTTGTGGTTATCACCGAGAGTATTACTCTGAATTGGTACTCCGGCGATAACCGTTCCATGCTGGTTACTAATTGCATCTTTCGCGTGGGGTGCACCGCCGCGATGCTGACGAATGATCCCACGCGCCGCCGAGTTGCCAAGATGCAGCTGGTCGACTCGCTCCGGACTCATCACGGGGCGGACGACCGGTCCTACCGGGCGGCTTTTCAGGAGGAGGACGAGAACGGCTTCACCGGAGTTGCGCTCACGAAGGACTTGATCAGGGTGGCCGGGGTGAACTTGACTCAGCACATCACGCTCCTCGCACCCCGAGTCTTGCCGCTGAGTCAACTCGCCAGTTACGCTTACTCGGCTGTGACGTCGGCATTGAGGTCACGCGCCGGTGAGTCGAAGCCGAAGCCGGCCGTGCCGGACTTCACGACGGCGTTCCAGCACATGTGTATTCATACCGGAGGAAAGGCGGTGATCGAGCAGGTCGGGCGAGTTTTGCGGCTCAGCGACGAGGTGACCGAGCCGGCTCGGATGACGTTGAACCGGTTCGGTAACACGTCTAGCAGCCTGGTTTTCTACGAGTTGGCTTATTTTGAAGCTAAGGAAAGGGTGAAGAAGGGGGATACAATGTGGATGATTGCATTCGGGACTGGATTTAAGGTTGGGAGTTTGGTTTGGAAATGGCTTCAAGATTCATCTCAAGAAATTGATAATCCTTGGAATGACTCCATAGATAGTTACCCTCTTGAAGCTTGGTAAATTGTTTTTGATACTATAGTTATAAACAGTTCATTTGTAACAAGAACAGATGGTTTTTTATATTCCCGTCCCATAATTATTGTCTTGTTTAAGTTTTCATTTTTAATTGAAATTGTACTAAAAGTGAAAATCCAAACTGAACAAGCATTATGAGACGGAGGGAGTATAAGCTTTGATTAAGTTACCCCTTTTTTCTTGAAGCATTTTTTATTGTAATCTTAGTGAAGTAAAACAAAGAAAAAAAAACCTATGACATACAGTAATATCAATAATACCGACAATGCTATATTCAAATCGGAAAAATAGTTCTACAGTGAGTAATATATAAGATTATAAGAAGCACGTCCATTTTTTGTTTCGTTGGCAAATCAGATGTGAAATAACTATTGTTTTGCTGTGAAAAGTATGGGTTGATGAATAAACTCATAAATGTAAACCTAAATAATATTTTTATGGGACCAAGTATATTAGCTAGAGCAAAAATAATCTGCAGCTGTCAAAAAGGGTGCATAATGAATGGAAGATAGAATAACTTTAAGAAAGTAAATGTGGTCTTATTTGAAGTTCCAAACAAAATATTACTAAAAAACATCAACTTCCTACATGACTCAACTCAACTAGATGTTTACAATTAATATAAAACTGCAATTAACGTTATCCCTAGCTAAAACCTTTCAATGTTATTAGAGCATTTACAACACTAGTAATATCAGTGGACGGAATGGTTGTACAACCGATGTTATTAACTGTGGTATTAACTTCGATAATGTTTTTAGTGATATCAATGGTTTACTTAGAAAATATGTGTTCTTAATTATTGTGAGTTAGCAGAAGTAGAGAAATATGTAGTTGAAAATGTGAATGAAATAGCTAAAATTGTAGGTAGGCTTTTAGCTTTGTGATTTCACAAATGTTGATTTCATTAATATAATACTCCCTCCATTTTGAAATATATGTCGTTTTAGAATTAGGTAATTTTTTTTAAAAAATATATGTCGTTTTAACAAATCGAGAGGCATATTTGACCACTTTTTACCAATATTACCCCTTGCATTGGAAATGAAACAGTATTTATAATGAATTTCTATTGATTTGTAATGAATTATATAGATAATAAATACGGGTATTTTTGTATTTTAACTAAATTAATTAATGTGTTCTTGGTCTTAATGATTTCTCTAAAAAGACATATAAAAAAATGGAGGGAGTATCTGTTTTCCAAAAAAAAAAAAAAAAACTGATCGTTTCATTCCCGTAATGATAGAAAATATGTAACAACAACGATCGTATTACAATAATATTAATTAATGATTGTAATAGTAAAAACAACTAGGTAGAGTGATGATATTTGCAGTTGTAATGAGTATACTCTTCGTACTTGGAATTAACTTAGATTCTATCACGTAAGGGCATATACTTTATCTATTATTCACTTTCAAAACTCTAATATCATCGGTAACAATTTGACAATTTTGCACATCGTGATTCCCCTAATGCAATGCATTTGTATATTGTTAAAAGTTCAATTTAAATTTTAGGAATGTAGATATATATAATTTGTTTTGTCATTGGTAACTTTTTTTGTCATATACCAAATACAGTCCTTAAGAATTACGATCTCGTTAGTCATTAAATAATATTGCCAATTGCCTCCACCACAATTGTAATAGTCATAGTTTTAAAGCTACAATAGTTATTACTAACAATGAAAAGAATCAAAAATAAGAAAAAAAAGTTCAATAATTAAAGATACTTTTTCTGTTCCAAAATGATTTTTCAGTTCAGATTTTTATTTTAGTACAAATTTTCATTTTTAGGACCGTTTATAATAGTAAAAAAATTAAAATCTAACATGGACATTCATTTAGGACAGGGGGGAGAAACAAATTAGCAATTAACAGTTAATGATTGGAGTAAAAAATTTCCTTAACTGGGACTAAATTGATAAATTTTTAAAATTATTGTGTACAGTTTCGAATTATTGAGGAATCGGCCCGGAGGTATCAAAGGCGTAATTTCACCACATAAATAAACACATTGACATAACCACGCTTTCAGTTAGAGTAACCACGCTTTCTCATTGCCAGCCATGAAAACTGAATAGGATAGAAGTAGCGGTAAACTGCGAACTGTTCCAAGGAATTGTTTTTGGACTACAGAATTCACACAGACTTTGATGAAGAAGAAGAGCTCGTGGATAACAAAGCAGCCATGACATTCTCCTGTGAGTGTTTCTCCAAATTCAATTCGTTAGTAGCATTTAGAACTGCAGTTGTCCAATTTCCTGTAACTCAAAACCCATATTTCTCGAGGTCCCTCAAAAACCCATCAGCTAAAACCCCCAAATTTAGCTCGAATTCATTCATTAATTTGAATTTCCCGATAAATTTTACCGTTTTTAGGAAGAACCCTCTTGTGTTTTGCTCTAAAAATGATGTCTTTGAGGATATAAGTGTTGAAGAGGACGAATTTGAAGATTTTGAGGAGCTTGAATTGCTTGGTAAGCCGTCTCCCAGGCCAGTGAATGATTTGTTAGTTGCCGAAACTGATGATGAAGAAACGGATAATCTTGATAGGAATGAGGTCTTGGAGGATTTTTATAAATTATTTAAGTCTGGTGGGTCGTTACCGCAAGAAAGTGATTTAGGAGAGGGTCTAAAGGAGGCAGAAATTGGGAAAGAAGGGAGAGAGAATGTGAATGTTGAGTATTATGAACCAAAACCAGGGGATTTGGTGGTTGGAGTTGTGGTTTCAGGCAATGAGAATAAGCTTGATGTGAATGTTGGTGCCGACTTAATTGGTACCATGTTGACCAAGGAAGTGTTGCCCTTGTATCATAAAGAGATGAATTATATGTTATGTGACATGGAGAAGGATGCAGAGGAGTTTATGGTTAATGGAAAAGTAGGAATAATGAACAACGACGAGGCCGTGAGTTGGGAAGATATGCCCGGGAGACCTGTAGTAGAGCCGGGAACAATTCTTTTTGCCGAGGTTCTTGGAAGAACACTTAGTGGACGGCCTTTACTATCTACCAGACGTCTCTTCAGACGCCTAGCTTGGCATCGTGTGAGGCAGGTTCTCTTCTCACCTTCAGTTTTCTACATTGTACCACTTTGATAACAGTTTTATGTATTGCCTATTGTGTGGATTTCATGCTTTATTTACGATGTTGCAGTATCAGAAATTTATTTGTAAGTTTTGTTGGCCTGACAAAGGCATTCTGTTTTTTGAAAGTAAACTTATCATAATTTGCTAAATGTGCATCCATGTGAAAGGATGGGTTTCTATTTCTTGTTCTTAAGGTGACAAATGTCTCTTGTCAACAGTCTATGAAGTTCCTTGCATTTTGGCAAAACCAACTCACGTTTGGTCTGGCAGCGTATGTTATTTGTACTTTTATGGACGAATAAAGGAAAAAGATCTCGTACAGCATTGTGCAACTTATATGGTTGCCAAATTAATGAATGATGCAATGATCCTCTAGGAAAGAGTAATAGAAACTAGGGGTCCTCGATACAGCATTTCCCTGAAGAAGTTTTAGTATATATCAAGATGTTGCATGTACAATCTAGGCCAGTTAGACAAATGGAGAAGTGTTTTTTTTTTTCTTTCTTTTTTTTTATAGTTGAATATTTATTCTTTTGGTGCAACAAGCATATGCTCTAGAACTCAAAGTAAAATTTCATCAAACAGTAATAAGATCAGTTAAGCATGACCTTGGGGGTTAAATATTGGCTACGAAATGCTAACATGAAAAAAATAAAATTGAGAATAGCATAGATTCGAATGATGAAGCATGTGTACTGCAGTTACTTTAAAAAAGACAAGTTAAATAATGAAAGCATTAGAATAATATCTGCTTTGGGTGATCATTGAATATTCGAGTAACTTGATTGAATCAGGGATGCCAATTTGTTGTTGTGCGGGTTATTGTTATGTGCCCAGCATGAAGGCTAGGATCTCTTTCTTGGCTTTTGCTTTGATTATTCTCTGTTCTGTTGGTGAAATAACTCGATGTAGTTGACCAGAACTTGAGAAACCTCTTACTTTTCCTCTTACAGTCTGACCATGTGCAGTTAGGATTTTTACACTAGATTTTATCTCTATATTTCTTTGAAATAATGCTACATCTGATGCAGATTAAGCAACTGAATGAACCTATTAGAGTGAAAATAACAGAGTGGAATACTGGTGGACTTCTTACAAGAATAGAGGTAAACTTTTTCTCTTCTCTTGGTCTCTCTCAATGCAGAAGCGAACTAATATATTGTTGTCATGTCAGTCTTAGAATTTCCTTTCTTATTGGCAGGGTTTACGAGCTTTTCTTCCAAAGATTGAGTTGATGAATAGGATTAACAACTACACAGATCTGAAAGATAATGTAAGCTTAGCAATTGGTGTCTTTTTTTTGTTGTGTTTTTTTTTTTTTTGGGTGTTCTAGAGACTCAATTATCCATCCTGAACCATTTTTCAGAACCTGTCTTTGGATAATCTTTAACGTTCTTGATACGATCATCTTTTCATTTGGTTGTGTTCTGTGTTCAAAGATTATGTAGAACCATGCTTTTTTCCAATGAAACTCATCTTGAGTGTGCATGCAAATATAGAAGAAATTAAATCTACTGTCTTATACTTCGAATTTCATTTGAATATTGCAATATGTATTTTGATTGTTCTTCCTAATTGGATGAATGGAACTATCATTGTAACTTTTGGCTTCTCTATACCTAATTAATCTACCTTGGTACGAACATTATTTTTAACTGTGACATGGTGTTGTTTCATTTGCAGGTTGGCCGCTGGCTGTACGTGCTTATATCTAGAATTAATGAAGATACTAATGACTTGATACTGAGTGAGAAAGATGCTTGGGTCAGTTACTTTCTTGACATTGTAGCTGGCCTTGGTCATATTTTGTATTTGTCATGGTTTTTGATTTAGTTGCTGTATTTATCATAAAATCTTTTCTCAAAGATCTCCTAGCTAACATTTTGGTTTTCCAGGAGATGCTTCATCTTCGTGAGGGGACTCTGCTTGAGGGAACTGTCAAGAAAATTTTTCCTTATGGTGCTCAAATTAGGATAGGGGAGACTAATAGGAGGTGAGTTATATTGAAGCAACCAAATCAAATTCTCTCTCTGTGTATTTCTTCGTGGCTCGTATGTGCTACTGGAGGAACTGGGTTTTCTGTTATTCTTCTAAGGTGTAAAGAAACTAAATGTAGGCTACGTTCGTTTGAAACTTGAGAACAAATGAAATAAGTATTGAATTTATAGAAGATGTCTCTTTTCAGTTTTCATTATTATGATTTATGACTTCTATTTCAACAGTTAAAAGATAGCCTATTCCTTTTGAAAAAATTTATGCTGCTGGGTGGATGCCAAGCTCAAGTGACCCCTCATTTTTGAAAATTGGTTCTAACCACAAGCAGTTTGTTTTGGTGATAACCTTTGATCAACATTCCTCCTACCACAGCATTATTATGGGAATTTTTTTGCACTCAGACTCGTGTGTTTGTACGTTGACTGCCTTGTTTGTAGTTGCTTGGTGTTCTTTCTAGATTGACCTTCTTGAAAGTTTAATTGATTTCTATTCTTGACTCTTTTTTTTTTTTCGCTGCTTTAGTGGGCTGTTACATGTCTCAAAGATTAGTCGAGCTCGAATTGATTCTGTTAGCAATGTGCTAGCAGTTGATGAGAAGGTTAAAGTTCTTGTCGTGAAGTCGATGTTTCCTGACAAAATATCTCTGAGGTAGGCTATTGCCAATGGTTAATCCGTTTCTTCATTCTTTATTGCTCCATATTTGTCCTCTCTGGACAAATAAGCCTACGTTCTTCAAAGATAGTTCAGAGACTACTTCTGCATTTCTTGAATAATTATATACACAAAATTGTATGTTGGGATTTAATCACAAACACACACACACACACACCCACACACACGCACGCACACACAACCGATATATTAATAATTCTATGTATGGATTCATCCTTACATGAGAATAATCAAAGGAAGCTCTTTATCCCTGTTTTATTGTGGAGTGATTAGACATCTATTGAGCTTAATGGTTTAGCTAGGCTTAGATTTCTTTTCTGTACTTGATGAGGTTTCAGAATAAGCATAAAATGTGAAGTTGCTTCTGTACTTGCATCTGAGATTACAGTGTGCTAAAGTGTTGTGCTGATTTTACTTCTTCATCCTAAATTGTTAAATCACAATGTGGTTCATCAAAATAATATATATACTATATTTCTGAGACTGTTAAGACTAATGTAAATTTTATCTTCCCTCATGCAGTATAGCGGACCTTGAAAGTGAGCCGGGTTTGTTCCTGTCAAATAAGGAGGTAGCGTGCTTTAGAATTGCTGAACTATTTTTGTTTTCAAATGTTTATTCATCTTCCATAAAATATCAGACAATGCAGTTTTCTTTATGCTTCCACTATACCGTTGTAGAAAGTTTTCTCTGAAGCTGAAGAGATGGCTAAGAAGTACAGGCGGCTGATATCACCATTCCTAGAAAAACCAAAGTTAGAACCTGTAACGACCAATGTTGCTATACCTTTTGAAGATGAAGAAAATAGCCTGGCTAATTGGAAATGGTTTAAATTTGAAACGGACAGCATACCAGACTCATGAATCCTAAAGTTAAAAATCAGCTTAGGGAAGGAACTGAAGCAGTTTTGTAGTTACCATCTCTTCCTCATCCCTCAATCTTGGGAGATGCTTTGAAGCATTGAACTTGGGGACTCAGTTGTCATCATTAATTAGAGAGGTATTGTTAATGTGGAATGGCACTGAGACTTGCTAGCATCAGATAACCGGTTTTTGGAAATTCCGAAAAAATGAAAGCTTTGGTCAGCATCCGGAATCAGGTTCTTTATAGCGGCCCTCATTTATAATCATTTGTTGTTACTGTAAGATATCACACATACGAGTGTAAAATGTACTATTAATCATCCTGAAGATTGTTTTATTGAATTTTAATTTGATTAGTGTCTTATCTTTATGCCTAGGAAGTGTGGTGACCTTTTTTTTTTAAATAGGAATAAGGATTTTCTGGTTTATTTTTCCCATAATTTGTTACTACACGGTCTGACATTGCAACTAAAAGAAAGAATCTTTCAAGCAAGAATTCAAAATTAGGGACCTGGCAATCTTTCAAGCATTCTGTAAAATTTCATCTTATCTCATGGAGTCATACAACCCAAAATACAAATGTAGAGTAGAGAAAAGCAGGTTATAATCAAGGCAGTCACCATGATTAAGCTAGGTTGTAATTAAGCTAATCCCCACACATGCACAACACACCTAAAGAGAGTGCTTCATTTGTCAAACAACCCTAGTTCCCTGCGGACCTGGATTCGCTCACCAAAAGGTAGTTTGAGCGAAATAGGTGGATTATGTATGGATGCAGCAAGGAAGAAGACAACGTGCACCCTTCTTCGCTAACTTCTGCTTCCACCGGGCATCATGCTCGCTCTTGAGCTCGCAAGAAAGGACCCCAACCTTGAACCTCGCCGTCACAGTTTTCGCAAGAATGGCATATCGAGCTCAAAAGACTTCTTCACTGTGGATGCTGGAGGAGGAAGCTGCTGGTTTGGCTTTGAAGGTAATGTAAAATATGTAATACCCAAAACCGGCATGGATACAAGTGATGTACTCAACATCAACCAACTCATAGGGTGGTTTCTGAGAACAATGAAGTTTGTTGAATAGTGCAATGGATTGGTGACACCATTGAAGGATTTGCTCCGGAGTTGAGCGCTGAGTTTTTTCTTTGAACGTCCAAGGAACAAAACATGAAGTTAAGCTATAATAAGGACAACATGTCACCTCGAAACCCCGACTTTGGTGGATCTCGTCCCTGTACTGTTTGTTGAGACTCACCCAGTCCTCCTCAGTTGAAAGGCGAGGCATCCATACTCGCTCCTCCATGTCTGATGCTGATTTTCCTCCTGGTCCAGTACTCGCCGATGGATCGGGGGTTTTTTCTTCGGGATCAATGGTTGTCTCCTTGTCTGAACCTGAATCGAATTGCGCAGACTTGGTAACTGGCTTGTCGTCCATGTCTGTGTGAATCTCATCACATCCTTCTCTCTTTCTTTTCAGGTTCGCATACCCTCTTCTTCTCATGGTCTCCCCTCTGCTCTACTCTCCTATTCGCCCTAATATCGATGGATGAAGTAGGATACGTGCGAGGAATAGTAGCTGCTTATATAATTCAACCAATCAATTAAAGCCCAGTTCAATGAACAACAATCATGAAAGAAGCCCACCCAATTATTATCATATAATGTAGTTGGGATGGAAATGCTAACCTAAGGTGATATTGGAAAAGAATCAATTAAGGAAAGAAAGGGGGGATAAAAAAAATTAGATGAACAAGAAAACGGGATTAGGTCCGGCCAAGGCCATTGCTACTCCAATCAGAACGTTCAAATAAGTCCGAAGATTGTTTTGTGGAATCATTAGACATGTTTTATTGTTCTGTACTGAGATGAGGTTTCCGAATGACCGTAAAATGCCCAAGTTGCTTCTGTACTTGCATCTGCGATTACAGTTTGCTAAATGTTGGTGTGCTGATTTTACTTTTCCATCCTAAATTGTTAAACATCACAATGTGGTTCATCAAAATATATCTATACTACATTTTTGAGTCTTCCTTAATGCAGTATAGCCGACCTTGAAAGTGAGTCGGGCAAATAAAATAAGGAGGTAGTGAGCTTTAGAATTGCAGAACTGTTTTTGTTTTCAAATGGTCCATATAATATCAGATAATGCAGTTTTCTTTACGCTTCAGCTATACAATTGATGCATTATCTTCTTCCACTGTTGTAGAAAGTTTTCTCTGAAGCTGAAGAGATGGCAAAGAAGTACAGGAAACCATTCCTAGAAAAACTAAAGCCAGAACTTGTTGTGGCCAAAGTTGCTATATCTTTTGAAGATGAAGAAAATAGCCTGGCTAATTGGAGATGGTTTAAATTTGAAATGGACAGCATACCTGACTCATGAACCCCTAACGTTGAAAATCAACTCAGGGAAGGAACTGAAATGGTTGATGTAGGTACCATCTGCCCATCTACTCAACCTTGGGAGATGCTCTAATTGAAACTTGGGGGCTCAGTTGCTGTCATCATATATTAGAGAGACATTGCGAGTGTAGGGTGGCACTGAGACTTGCTAGCATCAGATAACCAGTTTTTCGAAATTCCGAAAAATGAAAGCTTGGTCAGCATCCGGAATCACCCTCATTGGTTCTCACTGTAACATATCCACAAATACGTGCACAATGTACTGTTAACCATCCCGAGGATCTTTTTAGTGAATTTTAATTTGGTTAGTGGCTTATCTTTATGCCTAGGATGTGTAGTGACCTTTTCTAATATGGAATCAGGATTTCTGGTTTATTTTTCCCATAGTTTCTTACTACACGGTCACCATTTGCAACTAAAAGAAAGAATCCCATAGTTTGTTACTCTTCCAAGCATTCTAAGAAGCAAATCAGGTGCTATTCTGAAAAAATCCCCACAAACAAAGCACATCAAATATAATCAAAAGTTTTACGTTCCTTGCACCAAAAAAAAAAAAAAAGGTTTTACGACCCTGTAAGCTGAATGTGTGTATCGTTCTCAATGTCGCTAAACGGGCAGATATTTGAGACTCTGAACCAGTTCCTTTTTTCAGGTCCCCTCTCGCAGTAAAGCAACATTGTGTATTCGACACCCTGAACTTTTGAAATACAAATGTTTATAGCTTGGCAAATCCTGCCACTCAAAACCAGGATTTTCTTTTTTTTTTTTTGGCTTTGCTAAAAGTCCATCAGCAAAACGCCTTAAATTATCTCAAAATCTTTGAATAACCTGTATTTTCCATCAAAGTTTCCTATTTCGTTTTCATATAAAGTTATGTATTTGAGGATTTAAAAACGTCCTGCTAAGTAAGGCCACAAAATATTTTGCTAGTTCCCAAAACCGAGAACGAAAAAATAGATAAGATTACTATATATGAGCTTCCGAAGAACCAAACATCTGCCTCAGATGACCATTAGACAGTATAGTAATAACCAATAACCCAACAAAAGTGATCAAATGACCAAACAACTGAAATTTCATTTCATGGAGTCTAATACAACCCAATATATACAAATGTAGAGTAGAGATTAACAGGTTATAATCAAGGTAGTCACCATGATTAAGCTAGGTTGTAATTAAGCTAGACTAGACACATGCAAAACACACCTAAACAAACCATCCCACAAGACCATAGTTGGATGGATGGAGGAGCCTCAAGACCTCCGAAAGAGTCTCATCCTGAATCGTTTGCCTAAAACGAAAAGAGAGCTTCATTTGTCATACAACTGTGGTTCCCTACGGACCTGGATTCGGTCACCATCAGATAGTCTGCGCGAAATAGGTGGATATTTACCGATGCAGCAAGGAAGAAGACAACGACCACCCTTCTTCGCTAACTTCTCTTTCCATCGGGCATCATGCTCACTCTTGAGCTCGCAAGAAAGGACCCCAACCTTGAAGAAGCTCGCCGACCCAGCTTTCTTAAGAATGGCATATCGAGCTCGAAAGACTTCGCAGTGGACGATGCTGGACGAAGCAGCTTTGGCTTTGAAGGTAATGTAAAATATGTAATAGCCGAAACCAGCACGGATACACGTGATATACTCAACCTCAACGAACTCATAGGGTGGGTAACCTTGTTTCTTCTACACACAGAAAATAAACAACAAATAAACTTACCAACAAGAAAGAATACAGACTGAGAAAACACAACATATGATCACTTCCCAGCAGTTTGTCATTGTAATACACTTCCAATCACAAGAAACCAAGGAAATCATGCCATAAAATGTCTCTGATTTTTCTCAGTTTGTTTATAAAGTACAAAATAAACAGCGTGCTAATAGAGTACAAAATAAACAGCGTGATAATAGAGGTTAGTTACCTGAGAACAATGAACTTTGTTGAATTGCGCAATGGAGTCGTGACACCATTGAACGATTTGCTCCGGAGTTGATCTCTGAGTTTTTTCTTTGAACGTCCACGGAACGAAACATGTAGTTAAGGCATAGTAAGGACAGCATGTCACCTCAAAACCCTGCTCAAGCAAAGAACAAAGAAAACACGCAAAATAAATCAAAACCGTATATCCAACAATTTTTTTTTGGGGGAAGCCCTCATAAAGAAATTAATACGAAGAGCAGGTGAACCGGACGGAAAAGTAAACTAACCCGACTCTGGTGGATCTCCTCCCTGTACTTCTTGTTGAGACTCACCCAGTCGTCCCAGTCGTCCACATCCGAAAGGCGAGGCATCCATACACGCTCCTGCCCATCCTCGCTGTCAGGTGGTGATGGTTCAATAGATGTCGGTGAATTTGATTTTGACTCCTTCTCTGATGCTGATTTTCCTGATTCAGAGTTCGATCGATCAGGGGTTTTTTCCGGATCAGCCCTTGTCTCCTTGTCTGATGAAGCCCCAGAATCGAATTGCCGAGCCTTCGTAATTGGTTTGTCGCCCATGTCTGTGTGAATCTCATCACACTGCCCTCTCTTTCTTTTCAGATTCGTATACCCTCCTCTCCTTCTCATGGTCGCTGCTCTGCTCTGCTATTCGGAAATGGGGAACCCTAATTTCGATTTGGTAGAAGACGGTATGATGAAATAGGATATAACAGGATAGCTCGAGAAAGCGCATCGTAGCTTATATATAAATCAACAAATAATTACAGCCCTTTCCAAAAAAAAAAAAAAAACAATCAATTTACAGCCCAGTTCATTGTAACAACAATCACGGACTAGCCCGCCCAATTTATTCGATCTGCCATTAAGTATCGGCCATGTAAATTAGGCTATCATGCTTCTTCAACGCGTATGGCCTTAATATCATTTCTGCAGAGGAGTCAAGTACCATGAACCTGAGCATTGGAAATTTGGCGAGGAGGGAAATAAGTATTTCAGGCATGCAACAGGACAAATATATGCAATCTCCAAGGATTTGGCAACCTACATTTCAGTTAACCGGTAAAGAATCTATCTGTCACAGAAATAATAATAATAGTCGGTTCAATTCATCAGAAGGATGATCTAAAATGATAAATACTATCATATTTTTCCAATCAGTGAGATGATCATCAGTATTTGTTATTCCAGGCACATACTTCACAAATATGCCAATGGAGATGTCTCGCTTGGATCATGGTTCATTGGCCTAGACATTGACCATATTGATGACAGAAGTTTCTGCTGCGGAACTCAGAAGTAGGTTACCTACAATCCAGATAAATTTTTAGTCGTACTAACTCACAGAACTAATGATTATCACACCAGATATAAACAGCTACACCAGTCCCCACAGAACAAAGGACGAAGTTTAAACATGATGCTGACAATCCAGTGGCATTAACGAATTCTTCGGCATTTCCAGGCCCAGCTCAAAAGTTGCCTCCACTTTTCAGGGGGCCCAATTACACTTTAACTAGACCCGCACGATATGCTGGTTTGATTAAACTACCTCCATACCACAAAAATAGTCCACATTGAATTTTCAAATTTGTACTAAAAACGGTACAAAACTTAAAACTCAATGTGGACTATTTTAGTGGGAAGGAGAGAGTAGTATTTTTATGAAATACTAATAAAATATATTTTAAAAAAGCACGTGTGTATAAATCATAATCAGTGCTGTAATAGTTGCTAAAAATTTGAATAAATAAATAACCCAATAATACCTTGAACAATATGATGATAATAAGTGCATTTCTTTTTCTCATATTATACCTGGATCTAAACACCAAAATATTCAAAGTCAGGAGGGGGGAGAATCGAGCGATCATTGAAAAAATAACATAGAAACTAAAAAAAATTTTAAACACCGAAAAATATTAGAATGGGTAGAAAGAATATCGATCAAAGAATATTTATATATCAATTTTTCTACGATTAATGATCAAGATACTAATTATTGTATTTTTATACGATTTAAATGGTGTGATTTGAGAGATTGTTTCATTTTAATTTTTTTTTCCAAGTTTCCTTTACGGTTCGATAGATGATAAGAATTACACATTAATTAAATTTGAATTTGAAAATGAATAGTACTAATTAGTATCGGTGATTCACGCATTATCTTCACATTTATTCAAATTGAATGTGTGAGGTTTTTTTTTGGAATGAGATCAATAGTTATTAGATATATTTAATATTAAATAAGTGCACAAAATATATGGGATTGGGTTAGTTATTTTTATCTTGATTTTTTGGAGTGAGATCAGATGCTATTGGATATATATAATGTTAATTAATTAAGATAACTATGGTGAATGTACTAACATGCTATAATTAAAATTTGTAGTGGTTATTAGTTAAATATTGAAACTTTTTTTCCTCCAAATTTTGAGAAATTGACACGTAATATTTTATCCTACGTGGCGGTACAAAAACACTCTTTGAAACCTCTCTCTGATTTCTTTCTTAGTATAATACTATAGATAGAAGATAGAACCATGCACTACCTCTCTCGCTATAGATAAAAACAAGATACACATATTGTGACGACCCAACTCACCTACTAGGTATCGTGGTCATGCTTAGCTATGAGTTGGACCATCCGTCGGGCTCTCGCCCAAGGCGCAATACTTTTATTAATTTTTAATACAAATTCTAAACATCAACTTAACCTTCTCACTAAAACCTATTTCATATTACAGAGATAAAAAATAGCATCTCATGCACACAGCCTTGCTTCCTTTGGACACATCTGCATCTATCCGTTCTAAACCTAGGAGTGGGATAAATGGATAAGATATAAAAAGGGTGAGTGCCGAGCTCAGTGAGGTTCTCACTATACTACCACGATACTTTTAATAAATCTATTTTCATAAAACAATATTTAACAATAAAATTATTTTGCATATAATCACTCAACAATTAACTATTTCACATTAAGCAATTAACAATGGGGTGGATACAAGGAAACCTTAGCAAGGGCCATCAAAGAGCCTACGAGGCATAGAGACGGACTCCAAACCAGATTTCAACAATATGATAGCATTCATCCGGACAACAATTCCATATCAATAACAATCTCTCCGTCTTACATAAACCATCTCTACATATACCATCAATAATCTTATCCGGATAATTGACCAAAAGATGTACACATATAGTGTACGAGAAACCTAATTTACGTAAATAATCTGTGGTTTGGTTAATGTCCCTTGGAATAAGAGTTATTTGAATCTTATCTGAACGATCAAACTCCTTATTCTACCTGCGAGACTAGCTGGATGATGAGTATCCGAGTTAGTCAAAATATCAATCACTTTGCTACTGTCATTTCGACATTTGTTAACTTTCGTGTTAGTTTTGCTACGAAGGCGAAAAAGTTGACGTTGGACAATTTCTATAAAGAAACAAATATTTATTAAATTTTATATTGATACTGATATATTAATAAATTACTTAATTATTGTACCGTCAAAAAATCGTGCAATTGATGTAACTAGGGTTGTTCAACCGGCCGGGTAGCCGGTTTACCGGTTGGGTAGCCGGTTTACCGGTTAATCGGTTTCACTTAATTTCGGATTTGTTAATTTTGGGTAAAACTGACTAACTAACCGATCAAGTAATCGGTTTTACGATTTTGGTTTATCGATTTTTGGTTTAATTATCGGTTTAACCGATACTATTTGTCATATTTTTTTTCGAACAAAATATAATTAATGTTTAGCCAAACTTTTAAATTTTGTTCTACTAATTTATATAGTTCATATCATGTTTCAGACTCATCAAATAATGAAACTCTTTCTTAAACTCTCAACCTACAATAAAAACAATCAAAAACTTTCTTTTTTTTTATAATAAAATATTCAACCAAAAAGCATGTTATTATGACATAACTTTTTAGTAAAATAATTTGACAAAATGGAAAAGATTAATATATAAAAATATGAGACATATAATATTTTTCTAGATTTATAAATTTTAATTTTAATAATCGTTATTCAGTTTACCTGAGAAAGGCATAAATAAAACTAAAAATTGAACCAATTAACCGGTAAAAATCCGTTTAACCGAGACCTATTGACCAATTAACCGAATAATTGGTAAATTGGCTCGATTTTATATCGATTTTTGGCTCGGTTAATCGGTGTCGGTTTTTTGAACAGTGATTTTTGTACTATTAGATATTTAGACTATCTGATTTAAGGATTAAGTTAAAATTGAAAGGAAAAGATAGGTTTGCCAAAAATTTTATTGGGATGACTCCCCTTGTTATGAAAAATTTCACCAGTTCAGCAAAAAAATAAAAAAATCACCAATATGGATCCAAAATTGAATACTAAGATACTAATTCCGATGATTTGTTACACGTGAAGAAGTTTTCCGTTCACTTATCACGATTAAATAACCCCACTGTGACGGACGATCCATCTGGTGGTTTCTTTGCTTAATCAGCTACATTTATTTGTCTTAAAAGAACAACAATGGATCAGCCCCCTAAATAATTTGATCATGGATTTTTCAAAACTTGTTCTCATGAAATTAGGGCGTCAATCTCTCGTTTGTTCTGTCGTGGAAATCTCTCCCAATTTAAATTACAGTCGGTCATTCTGAAGTTACCAAAACCTAATAATTCTTTGAACTTTGGACCGTATCTGTTTATTCTAAAAGTTTTTATTCATTAAGTTTATCCCTTATTTATCGTTTTTTTTTTGTTTCGGGTACAAATTCAATATGTTCTTTAACAACAGCAATGCAACTTTTCTCTAAGATTTATGCTTGAATTATTTATTTATATATTATACTCTCTCTATCCCATATTTGTTTTATGAACAACACCAATATCATTTTGGAACGAAAGATGCATTGGTGAGACTAAATAGATTGCAAAGAACCAATAGATTAAGGTTTTGCTGAGGAAAATTCAATTAGGGGAGGGACAGTTACCAAGTTTTGAAGATGCCATGATGGCATGATTTCTTTCTTCCTCAACCTTTGGAGATGCTTTGCTACTATCTATTGATAACCAATTCTTCAAAAATCCCAAATCGAGAGAAAAAAAAAATGAGAAAGGTTTTTATCTGATATAAAGTTATTTTATTTTCTCCATTTTAGCAATTTTGCTAATAATTTTTTTGTTTAACGTGTTATTGATCGAGAATTGTAGTACTTTACACCATTTAAAAGTCACAAAATTCTAAAGTCATTGGATGGTAACAAAAAATTAAATTGAATTAGCAATCACCAAAGTACAACAAGTGCATACAGCCTAATTTCTTCTCATAGATATTCCTTAAGTCCCTTTGATTTCATGATGTTAATCTAGTACCACTCCTACCTGAAAGCGTGATTCTAGCCAGATCCCTCATAGGTCGGATAACATTAGCCATGTACACCAATTATAATATATGTGTACCTAGTGTGTAAGAAACGCGCCCGGAATGAGGGCAAGTTGAACTATTTACAATTTATGCCATTGAGTGAATTACACGCATGCATTAAAACCCCTGCAATCCGTAATTTTTTTGATTTCAAAAATCGAAAACCGCAATTATCTCCTAAATTCCTGCCATTACCCAAACCCAACT